GACTGTCATAAAAAAATCGGATATGAGTCAGATGGGTCAAAAAAATCGGATTTGGGTCAGATTTGCCTGCAGTGTGAACGTAGCCTAAGACTGAATTGTCAACAATAAATATTAATTTTTGATTAGTGCCGTGTGATGACATTTTTGGATGTGATGCACTCTCGTTATCAAGCGTGAAAAAGTACCTATAACATGTTTTGAAGGCAAAGAGTGGACACATCAAATTCTAGCATTGTTTAGATTTCACATCTGTTCATTCAGTTTACATCGCTATTGAATAATAAGCAACAGTAAGAATTTCTAATTGAACATTTATAGTTTATTCTATACATGCCTAAATCTTTCACACAGCATTGCTAAGATGTGATAAACTGCACACAGAAGCCTATTCAAGATATTAGCAGCTGGAATGAAGGGCGTTCCTTTCAAAGCTGAAATAATCAAAAACTGCACATGTAACCATTTCTAGCTAATGCTTGTGTCTGGGTATTGTTGGGCAAGCTTACATCTGGCATTTCTGCTAGTTAAAGTCCTGGAAAATGTAACTGTAAAAACACACACACACGCACACAGATGAAAAGGAAAAATGAACAAACTGCACTCTCATGTGTTAATAGTACTAAGCAACAGGAAGCTCATAAGTCCCCTTCCAGGAATACTCCTCCCCGTGCATACACAAACACTCGCATCGGATCTCCGATTTACGCTATGAACTCAGACAGACAGCACTAAATCAGATTTATTACTGCAAATTTACAGACACCTTCGGTTAACAGACTCAAAAAGCCAGGGTAAAAACAATAATAATAATAATAAAAAAGAAAACGGGTCCGAAATCAGAACTTTTACTTTTTTACGGGTCCGAAATAAGAACTTTTACTTTTTTATGTGAATGAAAACATGAAAAAAGACAAACATCCTCTCACAAAAGTCAAAACAGAAGACTTGAATTCTTGTCAAACACTTAGGAATTCATTCAAGTTTTGTAGAAATGACATATCACCTCTCACACAAGCAACAAGATAAGGCATATGAGGGTAACTAAAGAGAAACTARGCTGCTTCTGAATAAAGCTGAAGAAAAACAAAAGCACAAAATAAGGCTAAAAAGAGCGCCCAAACGGGTCACAGCCTCAGCTCGTGTTCCGGGAAGTTTTTCCTTCATTCAGCTGTTGCTGTGAACACAAAGCTCTGAACTTCCTCCTGTGCCACCAGCTGTAACCATTAGAGGGAGCAGAAGTCCTCCAAGTGTCCCTCATCTAACCTGCGCAGCACATCTGGGAAACATTAGCCAGCCTAAACGAGTGTTGCAGCCATGATGTAGGACACCCCCGCATTTTTGAAGTGAAGTGTGTTCTGCACCTTTTTTCCCCTTCCTTTTTTATTTATCTTCATGATGACTGATTGTGGAATAAAAATAAATGAACATCTTTAATCCTAATTTGGCACAGAGCTCCTATGAAAAAAACAAAAAAACAAACAACAAACAACAACAATGGCAGACTTGCAGCTGCAAAAAGTTACAGTTGCCCAGACATTTTTTTTTTAAACACAGCTCTACTCGACGGAGAAGAAACTTCTTGACCCAAAACTCTCTCCTGGCAGAGCTGAAGGATTTTTCCACTTGCATTTGAAAATGCCACACAAATGTAGAGAGCAAAGTCAGTTTGCCAGGGTTTTTTTTTTTTTCAAAACATATGCAGAAACACTGAGACTCCCTGTTGGCAAGAAGGGGAGCCATTAATAGGACTTTCAAATAAAAATCGCACAAAAACAAAACAAAACAAACAAAAAAAAAAAAAACCAAGCGCATGAAATTAAATTAAATTAAAACTGCATCAAATCTAAAGATCCTAATGTGCTGGCCACTGTGTTTTTACAGCACAGGCCTGTCTGGTGGAAGACTGATGTGTTCTCACTGTATTTCTCTCACAAGTCTGCAATACCACATTTTGCTGGACGATAAACTGTCTCAGAAATTATTAGGATAAATGATAATATTGTTTGGAGATCATGCTTATAATGCTTATGGAAGTTTAAACAATTTACGTACGTACGTAAAAAAAAGTTACAGACTGACCTGGGCTAGGCTTGGGCGGTATCAAAGTATGATGACAGTTTATAAAAATTATGATGGCATGAGTCACGTGAGGTGAAACACTAAATTTCCACAAGACTGCTATGAAAACTGTGACATAAAAATTTGAGGTTCTTACTCCATAACAATACTGACGTGTGTTCTGACCACTTCAGCTCATTCAGAAAACAAACAGCAGGAGGGTGGCAGAGTCACTCTCCTCTGTTGTGCCTCTTAACCATTGAGCGAGGTGTAAAAAAAAAGACAACAACCTCTAAGTGAGGTAATGGCAGACACGCTACTCTACGGCTTCTATAAAAGTGGGCTGTAGTGCTGACTGACAGCTTACGGAACCAACCAGCTGCAAGTTTCTTAAGTCAAACCACTGGAGTTGAACTTCTTTTTTGATTTAAATTTTCTGTGTTTTTTTTCCCCTTCTGAGACCTGCAAACATCTTCCTAGCACAAAGCATGCAGCAGCGTGGATACAACCATGGTAAGAGTCAGATTATTTTCAAACTTAAAAACCTAAAAAGATGTAGTTGAACTTATTTGGATCTGTTCTACATTATTAGAGGCAAAATCATTCTGTGACAGCAACGTCAGAACAGCTGAGGTTTCTCTGCCTCTCACCAGTTACATGCACGGAAATGCTCATGAGCAGCCATTTCTCCATTAATTATTAATTGCTGAAAACGCTACAGACCCTTCCCGTAAAACCGTATACCACGGTATTTGGTAAAGTACCGCAGTATGAAAACGATCAATACCACCCAATCCTAAACTGGATTGGAGATTAAGAAAACAACAACAGCTGCTGAAGCTGTAAAATCATTTCCCTCCACTATCCAAGCCAACACAATTAATTTTTTGTGTGCCTTCCTCTGGCTCTATGAAATATTTGTGGTCACCCGCACACTGCTTCCAAAGTTTATGAAAATTTACCAAATTTATGTAGTGTAAAAAATAAATAAATAAAAAACTCGGAGAACCCAAGATTTGGAATGTTGTCTAGCTGAAACAAGGCGTCGGAAATCCGAAGACGCTTCTCTAGCTAAGCGCCTGTTCATGGGGTTCACATGTTACAGAGGTTATGAGACCATGCGCCTGGCAATATACCTGACACCAGAGTTCACTCCTCTCTCCTCTAGAAAAGAGGGAGACCCAAAGAAAACAAATAAGCTAGCAAATGAAAATTATTGACCTCTTTTTTTTTTCAGCAACCTCATTTTAATTTATCATGCAATTCATTGATTTATCGCTTACCATGACAGGCCTAGTCACAATCAGATATGTATTTTTATTTATTTTTTGCCCTAAAGGCTAACAACTGGACTTATCATGCTTATGCAGGTGGTAGTTATCACCAGCTGCAGGTGATGAATGAAATAGAGTAGCTGGCATTTTGATGAAGTGCGGCTGTGTTGTTACAAACGGGTCCACATCTGCTGCAATCTTGCGCCATGCAATCAATTCCAGACTGTTCATAAAACCTGACAGAATTCTAAGAAAACAAGGCAAACTGACACCCATAAAAAAGTTATTACTTGAGATTTAAAATAGTTGCACAAACAAAATAGCTGCCATGTGCTATTTTCGGGGCCGAGAGACAGAGTCGTGTGTTGCATCTCGTCTGGGGTTACATAAAGACGAATCAAATACAGATCGCCGCCCTGAGGAAAATAAATTGTGTCTCTTTCACTTTAAAAAAAATTCCCCTTAAGATCAGGTTATTAAATCAACCACGTGTTTTGTCAGATATGTGTTTGCTCACAAGATAACTCCATGATTATTCAACATGGTCTTTGCCTGCGCTCTTTTGGTTCTACGTAACACATGTTCTCAGCTTATGATTATTCCCAGGTGGTGCTGGGAGCAGGTTTTGTGAATGAACTGATACTCAGGGTGAATCAAGGACTGTGTGCGAATGATCTGCCAGGACTTAAAGTTGATTAAGTATCAGAGAGAAAAATGTTAAAGAATCTGCTGTAATCCCAATGACGTTCGTCTGAGCTGGCTGACTGCGGAAGTTGCATAACGTCAGAGGATCGCACATCTGGTTTTGAAGACTGGCACTTCTCCAGGGGGGAAACAAAAAAGCGGGCACAGCTATACCTAGTCCTCCTCCCTTCCTCGCCTCGGTCCCCGCCTCCCTCCATCCCGGAAGAGCTTTAAATAACCGTGATAATCTTTTATTGGTAACAGAGTGCTGGAAGAGGTTTGCCAATAAAACGCATGAGCTTCAAACTCCTACATCGCTGCCTTCGCAGACGAATCACAAAGTTCTGCGTGCGGAGGAAGATTCTGGATCGTGACGAATGGAAAACATGCAGGAATTCATCACTGCAAACTGTCTAATGAGCTTTTTTTTACTAAAGCATGCTAGAAAAATATGGACATGGACATACTTCCTTCTCATCTGATTCCAGGGAATTTTCCAAGAATTTACATTTGGCTAAAATAACTGTGACTCATGGATCATGTTAACAACTCGTAAAAATATATATATATTATAAAAAAAAATCTGGTGTTCATATTTGATCAGAAATGGCAACCAAAGCTAAGATGTGAAAACAACACCTTATTATAGTCAACAAGGCTTCAAAGTGGTAGCCAGATGCGGGGCTACTGATAATTTAGGGTGGCACACTAAAAATCAAAATCCAAAAAAGTATTTCAGTGGTTTTTATGCTGCTGTTATCTACAGTACAGACTATTTTAAATACTGGGAATTATCTTCTCATATAGAGTTGATATAACTAGTTGAGAATAGCACAGTCTCTACTCAGTGGTGGGTTTAGCAAATTTATAAGGGTGGCTGATGCCCTGTATGACCCCCACTTGGTGGCACCACGATCTGAATGACTCATTAAAAAAAATAAATGCTCTGGTAACTGTTGTAAAAACTTGTTTTTCTTAACCCCAAATTAAATAAATAAAAGAAGTGTCACCTTTTTTAGACTTGGCTCCAATTTTCAGCTTGGACGGCCAGGCTATCTGTGTTTGGGTTTCATCCATGATCTGAAACAGAGTGAAGGAGGTCTGACATTAATTTAGCATCATCATCATCATCATCATCACTTTATTTATATAGCACATTTAAAAACAACAGTGTTGACCAAAGTGCTTCACAGACACACAATGCAATAAAACTAATAAAAAGCTGAAAACAAAATAAAGAGACACAAATAAATAATTCCTGAGGTAGCCCAAACTGAACTTGAGTTAAAAGCCAGTGTAAAAAAAGTGAGTTTTTAAGTCAGATTTAAAAGACTGAACAGACTCTGCAGTACGGATCTCAAGAGGCAAGTTGTTCCAGAATCCCAGAGAACTGATCACAAATACAATCAACACGTCTTTATAGTCATCACTGCAGGTAATTTTAAAGCAAAATACTCCAAACTGTATTGCAAAATGGCAACGTAAAAAGCATAGCATTGCACAATTTTTGCTTCTTAAATTATTTCAAACAGCAGCACTGCTTGCAAAATATCTCTTATATTGAATGTTCCAAGTAGAGGTCAAGTCAAACATGTCTTTGTACGTTTTATTATAGACAAATATTTGATTCTGCTGAGATCTTTAATCCATCTTGCAAAAATATAAAGGAAAAATAAAAATTAATGAGGACTTCTGGGTTTAAAGCATGCCAACAATATTAAAACCCAATCTTTGTATTATGTCTACTCACTGAAACAAAAAGCATATGTACGTATTAATAGTAAAGAAAAAAAAACTACAGGAAATATGAAAAAGCAAGGAATTTGTCAGAAGTCAGCAAGGTGAAAACTGAAAAAATATGTATAACCTTTTGCTTCTTTTTTTTCTAAATCAAGAAGCAGCAGCTCACCTTAGATTTGGATAAAAATAATAAAAAAAACAACAAGAGGTGAATGTTAGTGGAAAGAAGCAAAAAAAAAAAAAAACCTAATAAGCTGACTTGCTGTGTCCCAATGGTTGTGTCCTCAATGTGCTCCATCCGTGTTTTTACACATGTCCTGCAGTYCTTTGTTTGTTTTACTACGTTCCAGGGGTCAGTGCTTTCAGGGTGGAGAAGATATGAATTTCTCCAAGTTCTTGAAGTGTCGGCCACGTGATGAAGTACAAGAGTCAAATCATTACAAAAGCAGCTGCGGCCACTTAATACATCTCAGTGGACTCAAAGCGCATTAAGCCATAAGCAAAATGGCATTGCTCAGATGGGAGGAAGTGTGCATTAAGATCCATCAGTGCTCCCTAAAGTTGTTAGGCTTATTAACACATTACGTTCTTTATTACCTTTTCTTTCAAACTTTTTTTTGACTAAAGATAAAAACAGCATATCCTTTTAGTGTGTGCTTAATCAGAAGAGGTAAGTGCTTGAATTTATTCAAAAGGTTGTAAGGAAGTGGCGGAGTCTGTTTGCCATCTTTTAAAATACTGTTTGACAGCGGGTCCAGTACCAATCTCCAGAGAGCGAGCTCTGAAACGCCAAATGTGTGCCTCTTGTTTCTCTGCAGCTATAAACTCAGAGCCCACAAGGAAATCCTTTCAAGCGTCAATGGTTTTCTACATTCTACTGTATAATCTCATATAAACATGGATTCTCTGGACGATGAAGAGAATGAGGCATTTTTACTACTATTTGCACAAAGAAACACATAAAAAAGAAGCTTAATTTTGTGTGAATGGCTAGCATCCTTCACCTTACGCACTTTTAACACCCTTTAGAAACACTTAAAAARCACCTTTCACAWTAACAAAAATAAATAAATAAAAACATCTTCCTTATTAAAACAGTATTGCTTTTCTCAGAAATAGTCAAATGAGACTATTGCAGGCTAARAAAACTCTTGCACAACAAAATAAAAACATCAGATGCAGCTTTAATGATGTTTTCTTCTGAACTCATTAGTCAGGCCTTTAATTTATGATAATTTGGAAGAAAAACATCTGCTAAATGATTTAGTTTTCCTGTAGTTCTTCTTTTATTTAGTTTCATCTGAAGGAATCACAGGACCAAGCATCTTTTCTTCTATTGCGCAATAAAAAATAAAGACAACCATGATATCCTTAAAGTAACTGAGCTGAGAATATTGGCAGTGTTAGTAAAACAATTAATTTACTGTTGCAGAATTTTTACAAGTTCTACAATAATATTATCAGTCTGTTTAATAGGAATGAGTTAACACACTTTGAGATTCAGGCTTAAAACCGAAACCTGATGTGATTTTTCTTACTGGGTTTTACTATCCCAAGGCAGTGACTCTAATCTACTATTTGACACCCGCCCATCATTGCCTGGCACATGTGAGAAAGGGACATTAAATCACATTTATCTCTGCGCTGGATACCACCATTTTTACGCTGACTCACACATTCACACTAACAGCTGGACGTCCTACGAAAAACAATAAAAGAACATTCTGTTCTCTGTGACATAGAGATTGTTTTCCTCTACAGTACTTCGGCCTGTAACTGTTTTTTGCTTCTTCCTTTTTTTCAAGTTTTCTTCTTCAAATCCTACGACAATGTCTGGATTTTATCATGAAGGCATTCATTTGGAAAGCTGCAATTTCACAAATATAACGCTGTATGGAGTTTTTCTGAGGTTGACTGTAATTACAGAGGCAATGATAAACCAAATGATAAATCAGTGATTGTGAATTTCATTTGAAATTGTATAATTGAAAGTGTGAATTTACACTGCCAGCCCATTCATTCTAAAAATGAAATCTACTTTTCCTTGAGAGAAAAACATGCATCGCCTGACACCTTTCATGTCAAAGTTTTTAAACAAAGACCTCATACAATCTTGTTAGTGTTTGAAGTATGTGATGGGGGCGTCTCTCAGCTACTATCACAAAAATTTACTGAAATATCTGAAAAATTGACTGGGTTGTTACCACTTTTGTATTCCCTAAATTTGATTATTAGCTGTGGTAGCCTTCTTGAATCAGGCTGACTCCAAAAGTTAATCAGTTGTAGATGAACATGTACAGAATAATTTTGGAGAACTTCCTTAAAATGTGTCCAATGGTTTGTGAGATATTTTGCTAACAAAAAAAGCATATACACAGTCATTTAATTGATCGCCCACCTTTCATGGAAACTGGTAATAACTCTGAATAACTTTGTGGAAATTCCAACTCAAGGAAGAACTTTGATTACGTAAAAAGGCTCATTAAAAAAATYACATCATTTCAGACCTTCGATTATTTTTTCCTAAAATTATCACATATTTGAGTCATCACAATTTCTGTTTAAAAAAAAGGACTTTGTTCAAAGAAACCTGTTTCCTGTCCAGCTCTGCTGTTCTTGGCAAAACACTGCAGATGGGACTGATTTCTGACAGACCACACACCATTTTAAAGGGTGGATGGTGTTTATTTTTATGGAAGGGGGCTTGCGAATACCTCTCAAAACAGGTCAAGATATTTGCTCAAATTAAGTAACCTATACATTTACCATCCCACCCTTTCTTCCCTGCCACTCCACCCTTTTTCCTTAAATACAGACATTGCACCGATAAGTTTCATGGCAACATCCTGACACAATAATTGGTGGTGGTCTGCAGTTTGTGTGTGCAGATCTAGGTGTAAAACCAAATCATAAAGTAAATGTCCACATGAGGTACATGCAGTCTATACATTTGACTGTGTGTGTCAGCACCATATGGCAGAGGCTTGTTTCCTGGACGTCGCTGCAATGGTTCAGCTGTTGATTCAGCTGGAAATGTGTGCAAGATTGTGAAGGAGACAGAGAAGGCTTTTTGGCGGGTGTAAGAGCCCCAGAGCTTGAGGCTGACAGGACTAACTCAACCGTCCCCATGAGACTCAACAGCGATGTTAAAAATCCAAGTGCTAACTCGCGGCTACAGCCCCGCTAACCTTCTTGGCCAATGCTAATTTATACACATAGTTATGAAAAGTCTATACAAATTACGAGGGATGGAAATTTCACTGCTGAAATTTAATAAAGACTACACATGATCCACTGGTTGAAACACAATGATCTGAAGTGTTTGAAAAGTATGTTTTGACCTATTTTTGTCAACTATGTCTCGGTTGTACACAACCAAACATCCCAACAGGCTTAATTTTCACATTTGCTTTGTCAGTAAAGAGATATACAAGATGCTCCTAGTGCAATGAAATAAACAAAATTAATAATGTCTGGCCTCAGATGTGAGCACTTTTCTATTACGCCTGGCAGTATTTACAGAACCACAACCTCCCTGGAAAGGAGGAATGGAAGAGGGATCACGGTTGAATGGCTGGAGGTTCAAAGGCTCCTCTCAACTCAAATCCGTTCTTTCAAGCCCTTCTGTTGGTGTGCAGCTATCATCTTAAACGGCTTAGCGACTCTCCGCCTCCCGGTTTCTGCACAACTCTCCAAAAAGACTTATGGGTCTGTGCCACGGTTTCGAACTCCCTGCAGATCACGATGCAAGAACTTTTCCAGCAGCCTGTTAAACTCCTCGTAGACACATGTTTTTATTTAAACAATGAGGCAGAAGACAGAAAAACTCCTTGTTATGCTGGACTGATAGGAGTGAGACACCGGTGGTTTCAGTGAAAACAAAGATGAGACAAACCACCAAACAAAAGAGAAATCCCCTCAGCTGTTGGAACTTTCACACGGCTAATGTCTAGTTGGAACACTCCAATTCRGTTGACCTCTGTCAGCCATTATTTTTCACTAACACAATAAAAAGGGTGGGCTCTCTGAAAAATGTTGCTTTGAACCCAATGAAGTACAGGAGACAGTGAGTAAAGCAAGTGGGCTTTGGGAGACAATTTCATGCTGCTTTCATCAGCGTCTGAACTTTAGATCTCCTTCCCAAAGCTCAGTGAGTAAAACAGTATGCGTCAAAACTGACCATATGTTTTCACAAGCTTTAACTTCATTAGCCCCGCTGAGTGTGTGAGGTACATGGGTGTGTTGGACGGGCAGGATGCTGTTCAACTAACAGTTTCCATTTTCAMCATTTCCAAAGTATTTCACACACCTCATTCATTTTTTTTCTCAATTTGTTCCATGCTTGTAACTGGTATTTATTTCCCCCTGAGTTTAACTGGGCATACATGATCATGCAAGAGTCAWTGAAATAAAATTACTTTTACAAAAGCATGCCCGTAGCATCCCTGCTTTACTGTTCCATGCCTTTCATGCCAAAGCTGTGTTTATAAAATGACATTATGAACATGCTCATGCTATGTTACCATATGTTGGATAATTTAACCTTGTCTGTTGGCACTTGGAGTATGTCKTGGGGGTGACTCTCAGCTACTACCAGACCCAGTTTTAGTGCAGAATCTGTAAAATTCACTGARCCATTGTGTACTAATGTCAACAAGCTATTATGTACTTTTTTAATGGGGTAGACTCCAAACAGTAATTAGTTGTAAATGTACAAAAAATGGTTTCTGAGAGTTCATTGAAATACGTTTGGTGGTACAWGAGATATTTTGCAGACAAACAAAATGACTTTCTGGGACTCTAGTTTTTAAACTGAGGCCACACGGGTCATTTTTACCCATGGGCAGCAGGGGGGTAAAGCAAAGATATTTGACTAATAGTATGTGTTAGGGACAATGCTCAGCTACTACCATAAAATTTAGTTCAACATCTGTAGAATTGGCTGAGTGAAACCAATTTTATGTTTCAGAAGGTTATTTAGCTATGGCAATCATCTTGAATTGGGCTGACTCTAAACGTTAGTCAGCAGTAAATAGCAACCCAGTGATTGCTTTTTGAAAATTTCATAATATTCAGTGATTTTTGAGCTATTACAGCATGCTAACAATACAGACAATGAATATATGAACACAAAAACATAATTTTTCCTAATTTTTTTTACCAAAAATAAAAACTCAACAAATATTAAGAACTATGTATTTGAACTGGTTGTGACAATGTTTGAGCAAAAAATATGCAAATATTCACACAGACATTTGAAATGACTGAAATTGGACTTGTAAAATAACTAACAGCTACTCTGAATATTTTAAAACAGTGTATCTGTATCCAAACCAAAAGGCAAAGCTGCAGTAGTGCATCAAAAAGTCCTTGTTAAAATTCCAGCGAGGGGAATCACAAGGCGCCTGGTCTGCATTACTTTGTTTTTGAAGACAGCTTTGAGGAAAGTAAAACTGCCTTTTTCAATGACATTTAACTCTGCATACTAACCTCCAAAACCATATACGGAAAATAGACAAAAGAGGAATGCTAAAACAAAACCGCTGTCCGTCATTTATTTCATTACAGTCCATTAACATTTTATAAAGGATGAAAAAATAAATAAATAAAATCACTCAAGAGACTTTTAGGAGAAACCACAYAATTAGCAACACACAATAACAGATAATTGTTTTTTTTTTTTTTGCTTAAGTACGTGACTGAGTTTCAGACTGCAGATATTTAAATATACAGTGGTCATTTTTATGTAAGGTCACTGAAATTCAGCAGTGAGAATTCAAATGAATGTAATTAAGTGTGCTGAGGTACATTACACACACAAACACAACAGTGGTAGAGTTCTGTGTATTTTACTCTATAAGCT